CCCCCCTACTAAACATCTGGGGGTAGAAGCTGACGAAGCCCGGAGGAGGGTCGTCAAGAGACTTTCCGACGTTGGGCACCCTAAGCTCTATGGAGTTGGGGATTGAGTAGGTTTTGCGGAGCTCGGCTAACCTACCTACCGAGCAAGTCGAGGGGGGAAGCTCAACTACTGGACCAGGGTAAGGGTTTCCCGAGGTGGAGGCTATGTTGGGTTTTGCCAAGCTATCCTCGACACGAGGGTTCCCCAAGGTAGAAGCTAATATCAGATCTCCTAAAACGTCGTCTGAACTAGATGAACTAGACGACCCAGACGACGAATCGCTAGACGAGCTACTGATTGTCAGACCTAAAGAAGGAATCTGAAGAGCTACCTAAAGGAAGAAGGAGAGAGTACCTGACTTGAACAACGGCCGAGGTACACAAAAACTTCGAAGTGAAAAGTGAAAAGTGAAAAATGAAAAACTTTCACCTTTTATAGGACAGCACGGAAGCACAAGGGTCGTCCGATCGAGGGAGAATCAATGGACAAGATTTGTCCACGCCAGGCGGTTTCCATGGCGACGTTTGAGTTCTCGAGGCGAAAACTAGGGCTGACGACCTCCGTGACGTCACACACGAACACGTGGATTCGATCCGTCTCTTGTTAGCTCGGAGTCCTTCGCCGAGCCGACCTCCGCCCCGCCGAAGTGGGGGCCAATGTTGGATACGAATCCAGGCTGGCCACGTGTCATGGTTCGAAGAGGCGAGTAGAGTCAATGCGCACACAAAATGTAAAGATTGAAAATTGAAAAGTGACTCCAGAACACTTAGGTCGGTAGACAGAGCATGAGCTAGGACACCGAGCCAACCTATAATGAAGTCCGTAACGCGGCCTCTTCCGAACCTGACAACACGCCGCGTTTTTAGGGTGTGTCAGAATTCCTGTCGGGCCCAGTTTCTATAAATAGAAACCTTAGCCTTAAATACAAGGTACGCGATCCTAGATAGACTCGACCAGTTAGCTTGGACTAGAACTGACTTGCTCGTCGAAGTGCTAACTTCGTTTTGCAGGTCTCGGGAGCGATCTGGGAGGGTGTTGGACCATCGGTCGTAGTTCACCCTGAACAGACCGATCTAAAACTTATTGAGCTCAACGATTTCAAGCTCCAACAAACTTTAACACAAAGTTGGGTGAAATTCAAAATTCCTTCTTCTTGTTCATCAAGTCTTCAGCTCTTTGGGCTGCTTCAATTCGAGCCAGATCCCAATCACTCCCCTCTTTGACGCTGACTTCCCCTTTGATGGCCTATTCGTGAAGCAGCTTATCAATGGGATTTCCTTTACAATTACCTAATTTGAAACCTCCATTTCAGGATATACGGTTTTGTTGGACTGTAGTTTGTTTAAACTCATCAATTTAAACTACATAATACTTACTAAGTTAGCATAAATTTAGATGAGAAGTTAAGCCACTTGAAAAAGAAAAAGTCTAAATTTCTACAAGTTTGAACTTTTCTCGCTTTTATTAGTGAATAATAATTAATTGTGAACAATGGTCAAATAATTCTCTCTTGTTTTTGTCAATGTCATGTAAGTTTATGATAAATAATTTTAACTTTCGTTGATGGAAGTGATATAATTGAAAAAAATGTAAAGGTGTAACTGAATTAAATTGAAATTTTTTAAACAAAAAAATTAAACTTAAAAAATACCAAATAAAATAAATAATTTATATTTTTTTAAAGTTTAAATCTTATTTTCGTCCTACCACTTTTTAAATTCTTGTCTACTTCAATCTCTATACTTAAAATGTCAATTTTGGTCTTGTAAAAAAAAGTAAAAATAAATAAATAAGTTGTTAAAGTCAACAAAGAAAAGCAAAGCAAAGACGAAGGTTCCATGGAGCAAATAGGTTGCAATCAATGAGTCAATTGTGGGAGGTAATAGTGGAGTTAATTGGAACAAATATTCAGAGACTTCAATGCTAATAATAATTACTGCTTCATTTGGAAAGTGTTGGCTGAAATATTTGTTATCTGATATATTCCTCAATATCAGAAAGACCCCTCTGCTATGATGGTGCAAATGTGGGAAATCAATCAGCCTTTGTATTTCTAACCATTGGAATTAACCTCTTGCCTTATGTGGCTATATATGCCTAATTCTCCTTTCTTCAAATCTTTCTAATACCAACATCTCCACCTCGTTCTTCGGTTCGAGAATTGATAACTAGACTTAAAGAATGTTTATTTTGGGACGGGGATATTTGCGGAAGAAAAATTACAGATTTTGTAATTAATTTTAATTGTATTTAGAATTTAAAAATGTGTAATAAATATATATTAATTATTTTTAAAAGTTGAACGGGTCCAGTAATACAGAGGAAGGACCTTAATGGTTAACCAGCCACTATAACCCTGAGTTAATTCACTTCTGTTATGTAGGAAAGGGCTCCACTTCTCAGTTTCAAATGAAAATTCCCAAATTTCCTCCATTTGCTCGTGAGTTCAGAAGGCTTGAGAATCCTGTCAATCTCTAACCAATCATCGTGTGCACATCCCTTAGAGACTACCATTAGGCGATTCCAATCAAGATCCAATACCACTGTTTCTTTCTGAACCCAATAGGTTTCCTTATTTGTCGTTCTCCTTTGAGATTCAGAGGACCTTCGAATGATGTCTGAAGGCCTAGTAGTCCCCTTCTCTTTTTTCCCTACCACCACCTCCGCATACGACCTTCCGTTGCTTGGTGTTAACTTCTGGACAAGCGCATCCTTCCCTCTAAGGAGCCCCTGATTCTGCTGAATCCCAACTTCGTTCCCAAAAGTAGGACGAGCCTTCCTTACCACCTGTGATGCTTTGACTACCGTGATTCTACGGAGAAAGATTTCAACATCTTCCAAAATACTTGCCAACCATCTCCTTTAGAACCGGCAGGGACAAAAACGCTCTTTCGACATCCTGTAGAAGGCCATACCACCCACTCCATAATCCATAAATTTCTAGTTCTAAATTTTTTAATACGGCATTGTCCCAGGTCATCACGAAGCTGGAAAAAAAAATGATGCAGTGATCGGTTGCTGGAAAACTTCACGCATGTGGTTTTCAAACCATAAGAATTGCGAAGGATGCAGAGCCAACACAGCTTTCCTATTCACGTCCTCTAACATGAACATGTCATTTTCGAGCCAAATACAGAAGAAAGAATCATCAATACGGCAACTACTTAATTCCATACTGAAAACTAGATAGAACGCAAAAAATGATAAAAAAAAAAATGGGGACACACTAGAACAAGAACTTTCACGAAAAGATAATCTGACTAGAGGAGGGGGAGAGAGGAGTAGGAGAGAGAACAGAGCATTTTTTACCAAGCTCGTGATTAGGAAAGTGGAGTTCTGCTTCCATATCATCTCCCATTTTTTAGCTTGCTCTCAAGATGGACAAAAGGACCTCTCTTTCTTCAGCGATTCCTGCTTGTAGCATTTCTTTCCTTAGTGACACAATCCTTTCTTTGTCTATAGTATCCTGATAACTATGTAGCCAAATTAGACTACCATATATATCTTTATGTAACTCGAGTCCAGTTGTAACCAAATTGTGATATATAAACTCACCTGTTTAAGATAATTATTCGAAGAATCGCCTAGTTTGCTCACGAGAGCTCTAAAGAGAGAATTGTGCAAGCTAAGACGTGGTTTGTAACCACCTAGCTGAATCATACGATTGTAAATGGTGATTGCTTCCTCTATGCATCCTTGGACGGCGCACTCAGGTAAGCAACAATCAAAATATGGAATGTAGATTCACTTGGTACAAATCCCTGATTAAAATAAAAATAGTGGCAAGTTAGCTACCTAACTCAAAGATACCAAAACACAAGGTAGTTGATTTTGATATTTAGGTACCTTCAGCATCTGGAAAGTAAATTAAAACATGACAAACATGGGACAATATCTCAAGATGCCTTTAGGAAATTTCAGCCAATGAGGTAACTGGACACATTCAATCTATCATATATCTACACAAATCAACTCATTTCAATGTTAGAAAAAGAAAAAACATAAGATAACTACAATCCAATCCACATAAGATAAAAAATTAAAAAAAAAACGATAAGGAGAAACACACTCACCCACCTCTTATTGAGTAGTGGTAACGACAAGAACATAACTCATCACTTTTCTTCAGAGCCCATGCTTAATCCATCATGCTTAAAAAGTAAAGTGATAGATATACTCATAGTGTCAGCAGCCAACTAAAACCAGCAGTTAAATAAAATATACAAATTAGCAATGAAATAATCAAGTGACAGAGAAGGTACAACCTATATGGAAATCCAATTCACACCTTTAAAAGGAAAAATGCACCTGCAATTTATCCATCTCTAAAGAAGCATCTACCTCTATTGACTGTTGTATTACAGTAGAACTTGATTCCTTATATGCTACAACTTAATTCCCTGTGTGTTTATTATTTAGCGATAATGTTTGCTTAATTGTTTTTTAGCTGTTTTGCACATTCCTTGCAAGGAATAGTGCCTTGTAATTTTATGATCATTGATGCAGTTTTCCTTAGATGTAACATGCATTAGAAATCTTTTATGTGCATGCTTAAAAGGCACCCATCAGGCTTAGCAGAAACATCAAGAAATATAGTTGAAAATTTTTTTAGTTATTGCTCTTGGTTACATTTTAAGGTATATGACAGGAAAAATGTGAATGTCATATTGAAAAACACTGCATATCCTAGCAAAGCACCAACACCAATCCAATACCAATAGTTCTCTATAAAAAATGCTACATGATTTTAGTAAAGACTCTCCTAGTGACATACTCGTATGGTTCCTAACGCTGTACAAAACCAAGAGAGTAAAAGAAACTAGTTTGACATCATTAAAAAATGCATGTCCATTCTGGATATTTAAGAGTGATAATATTACCTTGTCCCAAGAATGTCTAAGAAACTCATTAACAGATGAAGCATTTTGGGCATACATCAAAAGAGAACACCAGAAATCCCATATCCACCACCTTGGTATATGATCTTCTACAATGAGGAACATATGTGATACATGCACAATTCTTGGGTTAATTACATTGACATAATAAATACGCACTATCCACCTCTTGAAATAATATATCCTCCAAGAGCCATAACAGCCAACATAGTGAAGGATCCAAAAGGTATTGACAACGTTCATGTTAGGACCATTAATGATCCCATTAGGCAAAAGAATGCTATAGACATTTGATGCAAAAAAGAGAATAACAAGAGTTGCAGCAAGAATCCGCATGTTGAGAATCCAATAATTAGCAAGAATCTGAATATTTAATTAATTAGTGAATAACATCTATCAAACACTAAAATAAATACAATTACCAACTTTTCCACAAATAGAACTTCATAATTGAAAATTCTGCACTGACAAAAATGTTGATTTCATGTTTTGCCTCCCGTACAAGATCAAGGAAAGTAAAGAAACTTATTAAAGGACAGTGAAAGTTCTGTAATATCTTACATGAAGGTTGAGAATACATGAAATATCACATATACCTTCCATAAATAATAAATAACTGGTCAAGCTCATCATTTAAAATAATTATGGCAGTCAAAAAACAGTTGGAAACAAAATAACGTAAAAGGAAAAACACATGAAGTATCACATACTTCATAAATATATCGAGATCTTCATCAGGTTTTATCTCTACAATCTTTTGCTTTCTTGGGATTTTCATGAGCATATCTGTCATAGTTAAAATTAGTATCAATGCCATAGTGCATGATTTTCATCCCAATTCCTTGACAGTGGCTTGCAAAATCAAAAGTTTCTCTAATAGTCATTTCTACATTATGTCGGTCCTGCTGACTAACATAACCTGCTATTCTTAGTACAAAAAACTTATTGAAACTATGTCCATTATAATAATTGAAGCTACCTTCAATGTTACTTCATGCAACAGAACACACTCATTGGGAGATGAAGTACATTCAATCTCTATAGGTAGTAGTTGTGAGCTAAGCTCTCTGCTATTGTTAGTATTCACTTGTCAAATCTGATAAAAGATTATTACAAGACAGTGCAAATATCTTTTTTTTTTTTGATAAGAAACATGAGATGTAAGTATTGATCACAAAAAAGAAGACAACCTAAGGGCGAGGAGTAGAGGAAACCCCTCCCCAAAAGAGCTATTACAGAAAAGCCCTCCAATTTTGGAGTATCGAGCTTAAGGAGTAATTACAAAAGAATTTGCTGTTGCTATAGCACCACCTAGACATGGTAATCTGTACATTACTCCATAAAGAAGGGAAATCTGAGGAATTGTTCTCATTTCTTTCCCTCCATATGTTCCACAAGATTGCAGCCACCAAAAAAAACCATAAGGTTCCTCTAGCATTACTGAAGCTTCCTCTATTAAGAGCTTGCAAGAGCCATTCGTCAACCTTGCAAGGGAGGCAGTAATCAAGGTTAAACAGATTAAAAGCTTGTGTCCAGCACTTATAGGTCATGGGGTACTGGAGCAATAAGTGATCTAGAGTTTCTTCCTCACTGAGGCAGAGAGGGCAAGCTGAGAGGGAGAGCGACCAGGTTCGACATTTCTTCTGTAGGCGGTCATAAGAGTGTTTAAGCTTCTGAACCACCGACCACAGGAAAACCTTTATCTTCTTTGGGATCTTAGATTCCCAAATGATCTTAAAAAGGGGGAGTCGAAGGGTTCTACAAGGTTTGGTGATGTGAGTGAAGGTAGCCTTAGTTGAGAAAGTACCCCCTTTGTCAATCTTCCAGATGACTCCGTCTTTTGAACCCCCCAAACTTACCATGTCTAGCTTGTTTGTGAGACCCAACCAGCTTTCAAATTCTCTGTCGAAAAGCCCCCTTTGAATCCCAAGTCCCAGTCTTGATGCTCTGCATTCCAACAGCTTGCTATTGTATCATCTTTCTTCATTGAGATGATGTAGAGATTTGGAAAAGTTGCCTCTAGAGTTCTGTCCCCCACCCAGTGATCCTTCCAGAACCTGATTCTCTGCCCGTTGCGAGCTTTGAAGGTGACGAACTTCAGAAAAAGATTGATATTCCAAGCTGTCAAACCACGGCCTTCCTTTCGCGGCTCCCTTTGGTAAGGCGGTCGGTCACCCATCCGTGAGGTTGGGTGCCATATACACTATCCACAATTGTTCTCCAAAGGACTCCTTGGGTAAAGCGCCAGAGCCATTTAAGCAACAAGGCATTATTCCACTGCTTGAAAGAGCCTATGCCAAGGCCTCCGTGCGTGAGGGGAAGAGAGGTCAAATCCCAATTCACCAGGTGGCTACTTGGGTGAAACCCGCCCCCGTCCCAGGAAAAGTCTCTCACATATTTTTCCATGGTTTTGATCACAGTGGCAAGGGCTTTCAAAAGGGAAAAGTAGTAGATTGACAAGCTATTAAGCACTAATTGTGCCATAGTGAGGCGTCCACCCTTGGAGAGATTCAAATTTTTCCATTTGGACAGCTTACATCTAAACTTTTCCACCATTGGCTCCCAAACCCCAACAGAATTAGCTTTTCCCCCAAGGGGGATACCCAGATACATAAAAGGAAGCTTCTCTGTTCTACAGCCAATCAGATTTGCAGCAGTCTCAATGATGGTCTCTTCAACATTGATCCCAATTAGAGAAGTTTTGTCGAGGTTGATGGAGAGGCCTGCCCCAGTAATGAACAGGGCGATGAGCCCCCACCAATCCATAATATCTTCGACAATGTTTTAAAAGGCTAAAGGCGGCCTCGAGGCTTTTTCTCTTGAAAAGGCGAGTATGAGGCGTAAGCCTCAATTTTAATTAAAAGAATTAAACAAATCCTAAATTTGTGTGGTCAAGTATTACCAAACATAATAGTTATATAAAATTATCAAAATATCCACCTGTTACTTGTCACTCAAAAAAAATTCAAAAAAAACATCATAACATCACTACTATTATCACCAATAGAACTTACTTATTCTATAAATTGTTGTCTTCAATATTTTTAAAGTCTAGGTAGTAAAAGTAGTAATAGATTGAATTGTTACAACTCCTGCTTAGGATTCCATACAAAAAAAACCTTGATATTTTTTAAGAATTGGAAAAATTAATAGTATTCTTGTAATCATTACACGAGGCGTATACTTTAAGCCTCAATGCGTTTTCAAAGAGGCGTAAGCCTCTTCTATGTGAGGCGTAAGCCTCTTATAGTCCAAAGAAGGCATAAGACTTGAGGCTAAAAGTTAGAGCCTTGCCTCGAGGCGGACCTCAAGGCGTAAGCCTCAAAAGCCTTTTAAGACATTGATCTTCGATGTTGCCTTGGCTGAAGATTATCGTATCATCTGCGTATTGAAAGTGGGTTAAAGCTACGTTCTTTTCTCCCACCGAGAAGCCTTTAAGAATCCTTTTCTCATGGCAAAAGTGAACCAAACAGCTGAAGGCATCTCCAATAAGAGTGAAGAGAAAGGGTGAGAGGGGACAGCCTTGTCTAAGGCCTCTTTGGGCTGAAATTTTGCCTCTAGGTCTTCCATTTATAAAGACGAAGAAGTTGGTACAACCTTTGATCCACTTGCACCACCTTGTGCCGAACCCTTTCTTCTTTAAGACGGCCATTAAGAAATTCCAGTCAACCATGTCATAGGCTTTTTCATAGTCCAGCTTCAGCACAAAGCCTTGTTTCTTCTTAGCTCTCCAATCGCCTACACCTTCTGAGGCTGCCAAAATGGCATCCAAGATGTTCCTTCCCTCCACAAACGCAGCCTGAGTGTCATGGATAATAGCAGGGAGGATTTTCTAAGTCTTTCGGCAAGGACCTTGGCAATAATTTTATAGAGAGAGGTGACCAAGCTGATTGGGCGAAAGTCACTAACTTTGTTGGCAACCCTCTTCTTAGGAATTAGGCAAATGTATGTCTCATTTGTGCGACGTTTGATAATCCCATTTTGGAAAAAATCTTGGAACACTTTGATGAGGTCACATTTCAAAATGTTCCAAGATTTTTTATAAAATTCATTTGTCATACCATCCGGCCCTGGGACTTGAGGGTGCCTAAGTTCCGAATCGCTTGATGGATTTCTTCTTCGTTGAACAGAGTCTCCAAACTTTGGCTGTCTCCATGAGTTAGGGGGTTCCAGTTCATCCCCTCAAAACAGAAGCGGGGCCCAGGTTTTTCTTTGTACAGCGAGTCGAAGAAGCTAATAATTTCCTTTTCGATTTCATCTGCCGATGAGAGGGTTAATCCCTGCTTATCCTCTAGAATAGAGATAATATTTCTGCATTTTCGTTGTGAAGCCCATCAGTGAAAGAAGTTTGTATTTTCGTCTCCCTCTTTAAGCCAGTCCAGCTTACATTTTTGAGCCCATCTTCTGTGGTCTTTGAGAGTGACTTCAAGAAGAGAGGCTTTGAGGTCTAAGCGTTCAGTAAACAAAGCTGAGTTCAGGGGGCCGTTCTCTTCTTCCTTATCTAGATGGTTAATCCTAGCTTGAAGGTCGACTTTCATATGTTCTAGGGCGCCAAAAGTATCCCTATTCCAGGTTTTTAACTTGGTTTTAAGACCTCTTAGTTTCTCCATAGACGCATAGCCTGCCCAGCCCTGAGGACTCATATTCTTCCACCACTCCTCTATATAAACCTTGAAACGGGGGTGAGAAAGCCACATATTCTCAAAGCGAAAGGGGGAGGGACCCCACTTTTGAAAACCTGAACAAAGCTGTAAAGGGAAGTGATCTGAGGTAGTTCTGGTGAGCCTCTGAAGGACAACTTCTTTGAAAGCAGAAACCCAACCCTGTGTGATCATAAATCTGTCCAAACGGGAGAAGGAAGGTTGTTCTCTGTTGTCTGACCAAGTGAACCTGGCATTGTTCAAGGGAATATCCAGCAACCTTAGATCATCGATTATGGAGTTAAAAACCTTCATACTCTTTGTTACTCTGCCACCTCTGGACTTCTCGCCGGGGTTCCGGACCACATTGAAGTCCCCACCCAAGCACCAGCAATCAGAGCAGAGACCCGCCAAGTCTGCAATTTCTTGCCAAAAGAGGTCTCTTCTGAAGGGGGTAGAAGGCCCATAAATCCCCGAGATCCACCCTTTAACTATATTATTAAAGGTAAAAGCGATGGAAATGGAAAAAGATCCAAGGATAGCATCGTGTACCTCAACAGAGTCTTCCTTCCACAAAATGAGAATGCCCCCTTCCGCCCCCTCCGCTTCAAGAGTAACCCATCCTATCCGTCTGGAACTCCAAATTTCCTTAATGGTTTTCCCTGAGAGCTTAGTTTCTTGAAGGATGACTACATCAGGACTCACTTTAACGAGGGAGTCTTTAACCAAGGCTTTTTTGGAGGAAGCACCCAAACCTCTTACATTCCAGGAGACGATCTTCATGTGGTCACCTCAGTGCCCGAACCATTCAAATCTACTTCTTCATCTTCATCATCCTGCTCCTCTTCCTCTTCTGATTCATTTTCCCAAGTTTTTAGAAGACTGATGATTTCCCTCGTCTTCTTTTTTTTTTGCTGACTGTCCTTTTGTCGAAATGGCCCTTATACACATATTCCACTCCTTTAGGGCCTTCACCATCCTCTTGGAGAAAGGATGAGGGAAAGGCAGAGTATGGCGGGGTGCGGCTTTGTTGTCCTTACTCCCATTTGGGATTGAGTCTAACTCTTTATTTCCATATGGTTCTGTAAAACCGGTAATTTCCTCTAGGTTGTCTTCTCTAAAACAGAGGTGATAATCCTCTGGAAGATCCTCATCCTGCACGTTGGGAAGGGAGGCGGCCAAGGATTTACTGCTTTCGAAGCTGGAGAGGGAGAACTCTGACAACTCCTCATGGTCTTTTTCTTTCTCTTTCAGCCGTCCCTTTTCCCGTAAGGGACTGTTTTGGTTTTCTTTGGAGGTCGAGCAAACTTTCCCCTTTTCGTCAAAATTCCGTATCTGATTTGATTTGTTAAAGGACACCATCTTCTTCTCCCCTAATTTTCTTTTTTGTCCAGTCTTGTGAGTGGGTCCCATCCCTGCAGTGTTCTGGCGCACGGAGCTCGATGGTTGGCAGGCCAAATCATCAGACGGGTAATTTACCCCTTTCCAGATTTCTAGGGCTTTTTGTCTTGTCTGCCTTACGGGCAAAGGAGGGTAAAATATTTTGACCGTTGGACATAAGTTATCTGTTTCAAGCCGCCAACGATCTATCGGGCAAAGCCCTGTTCCCTCTTTCTCGTCGTAAAAGCATTTCGCACTTTCCGGTTTGAAGCCTCCATGGATTCCGACGACCTTTTCGATCAGGAGATTCTATTCTGATATGTTGACACTTGCGCCGTGAAGATCCTATCTTCGTCAATGATCTGGACCTCTGAGGGAATGAAACCGCAGTAATTTCCTTGAACATTTATTGCCACTTCTACACAATCCACCAGGCTCGAGTTTGCATCAGCGTAATCAATGAAACCCCCAAAAAAATCACCAATGGCTTTAAAGGTGGCTAAACTCCATAAGTGGAGGGGAATGTTTCGAAAGCATATCCATCCCCCATAGGACGGGACTACATTTATTCGCCCATGTTTCAACGGATCCCATCTTTCTACCTTTGCTGTGATAGGACCAAAGGTGACCCATCCCCTGTTTTGGGCCAGCAGGTTTGCTATCTCTTCGGAGGGGCACTTGAGGAGGGCTTTGTCCAATTGGAAGGAGTTGATAATGAAAGTTTCTTCTATTTGTTCTTGTATACATGCATGAATACGTCCCCAATCATCATGGAAATCACAGCGAGTGAGGATCAGGGTATCCTTCCAGTTGAAGGCCCTAACTTCTGTTCTAAGGGCTGGGCTGGGTAGTTCAACTTTGATATCGGGGGAAGAGGGTTCCTCAATCTTTTCTGGGCGTGGAATGGCGTTCTTATGTTTCACTACCTCGGCAAAAGAACGATTTGGATAGAACTTGTAGTGCGTCGTTGGATTAATCTCCATAATGTTGCTTTGTTTTCCATTGATAAAGTCGAGTAGAAGATTCTTAAAAGCCAGCCACCCTTTGTGCTCTCTGTCTGCCGGCACTACCAGGTTTCTCTTCTCTTCCCTCCTCCACTGAACACCTTGGTGATTTCCAAGAAGCTTCCCTGTTTGTTTGAGGTTTTCTGCATCCAAATGAAGCCTTCATTGCAATCTGTCTTTCGAAAGAATTTCTACGTATTTGGAGTCAGCAGGAGATCGGAGATCATGTCTATCAGCCAAACTCCCACTACTTCTTCTATAGAGAGGACGAAAAATCTGCTTTGATGCTTCTCTGTGATTCGAAGCCATCGTCCTTGTTTCTTCTTGTCGAAATCACAGGTGAAGACCTTGTTTTCAATTTTCAGCCGGGACATCTTGAGTGAACTTGCAGGGATGTAGGTCAGAGGAGTGCTGCAGGGGGCGTCGTTTGTGGGGAAGGGAAGTCATGAGGAGGGGTTGAGGGTGGCCGGAGGTGGGTTGGTGTGGGGAAGGGGAGGGGAGAGAAGGGAGGTCATGATCTATTACTCTTAATTTCCTCTCATCCAATTGTTTTAAGACAGTGCAAATATCTTTTTTGGATTTCTTGTTAGAATCGTGGAGTAAAATAAGCACACTTCTTTTTTCCTCTTTTCATTTAACTCTAGTACTTGGTTTCTTGAATCAAAAAAAAGTTTAATTTCACCTGCACCATTTTTTGCAATGTCATCTCCCCACTAGAACCATGAAAGTTAACAAAAAATTGAAAAATAAAGTAGTATGTGTGTGTAAATGCCATTAATATCCATGTTTGGTAAGTGGAAAGCAAAATTATTATGTAAATTTGCTTCCAGATATTAAAAATGGAATTGAATTATGAATATATAATTTGAACATGGATAGCTATATTTCAAAATTAAAATGTTCAATTCTAAGGTCTAGCAGTCTTTTCACAACTTACAAATGTTCAGTCTTTCTGTCTCAGTTTGTAGAGATTTTAAGGCTTAGGGAGGAAAGAAGAAAAACACAGAATAACTAGGAAAAATTCTAGTACAAGAGTCCACCAATGATAGAGAAGTTCAAGGGCAAGATCAACACTATAACTAGGAATATTTTAAAGAATAAAAGTACATAAATCAGCATTAACAATGCTAACTTTAAAGTTCAAGAGCATTAAGTTATCCTACAACAAATATCACAAAAGCAGCCTATTAGATCCTCAACCACAAGATTTCAAATTTTCAAGTATATTATTCTCTCACTCTCTGTAAAGCTGCAAAAACAAGAAATTTTAAAAAAAAAAGGCGTGCAGGGTCTAGGTTGTTAGCAGAGCATGGCCTATAGAAGTAAAGCAAAAAACATTAAGACCTTATTCACAATTTCCATTCTTTCCATTTTCAGCAACATTATAGTTCATGAGAGAGAGAAGAACTCAGAACACAACGAGGAACAAAAACAAACAAGAACAAGAAATCCAGAAGACGAACGAACAAGAACAAGAAATCCAGAACAAGAACGAGAGATCGAATATAACTTACCTTAATTAGCAGCTCCAGAGAAACCAAGAATGACCCACGCCGAAAAATCCAGAAACTGATGTTTGAGAGATTGAAACTACTCCTTAAATCGCAAGATTTTAGTCTTTAGACTGAAAACAACAAACACCAAGCTACGAAAAAGGCTCAAAGCAGCTTCTACAAGCCCTAGATTAAAAACAATATATGATCCAATGGTTGTTGCGGCAATGACTAACGAGAATCTTCACAAATTAACCTAACACCCTTAGAGTTAAAAACACTATGAAGTTACGACTTTTCCTTTTTTCATATATATAACTACGAAATAACAATTCTTAATGGCTTTCAATCCAACATATAACCTAGATTAAAATAAACAAGAATGCTACAACAATACATACGGATAGCTAATTACATATCCATTTAGGTATTTACATCTCCTGAATTAGTAAAGGAAGATCCTATGTGATTTACAAAGCCTCCCAGAACCGTTCAACATTGAAGGATTTCGTCATTCGGCAAATTAAAGAATCCAACCACTTAATGGGACTAACAAAACTAAGATTCTCGTGTCAATCAGAAACCTCCTCATCAAAATCAGATTGACTATCAAAGTTGATGCATTCAGTCTCAGTTGAAGCCCTCTCCAAGTCAACGTTGTCCGCCTGTAGACTATCTTTCGAGTCATCCAGAATGAAAGGTTCGGTTAGTTTCCAGAACCATGTGGCATTGCTTCCTAGTAAACCTATCCAATACACTCTACCCTTCCTTTTCACCTTGCAACACATGGACTTTGCTTTCAAAGATTTAACAACCTTCTCAACACCCTCATGACTTCCCTTCAGCTTTAATAAAATATCCCCCGATGATAGCCTGGAGCCACCATACATATACCAGTATGCAAGAACACGAGGTGAAAGCCACCTGTGAATTAGATTAGGGATTGCAGGATGGCCTCGTGGCCAAAACTGATCTGCATAGAAACCAAAATATGAATGAGAAATAGTGCAGAATTTATATGGTATATCTTTATCACTATCGCTCAACTTTGAAACAGGATGCAACCACTCGTGATATTGCTCATATATGTGTCTCCTCAAAAGAGAGTGAGTGCTACATTTTTGGTGGAATTCAAATTGGATTCTATAGTTCTTCCTCCCTTCATCAGATTCTATCTCCAGGCCACCTAACAGCAATCCTACTAAAACCTCCCTTTGTTCTTTACTCAACTTCAAGCTTACTGGNATCTTTAGATGTAACACCGTTAACTAATAGATTGTTGTTTCTTAGGATGACCAGACAACTCATTCTCAATCCTGAGTGAGTTATGGACTCCTGTCTGTGAGGGCTCGTCCTCTGATCTGTATGGGTGAGAGTGGCCCGAGTTGCCGACTCAATATTACTACCATTTTTGGGACGAGACCGAGTGAGGAGCTGGGAACATAACTTCACAAGATGGAATTCACTTCTCCCCGAATTTAGGGGAGTAGATGAGTATTCTCTTAATTACTGACTCCGGGACTTAAACAAGGGGCTCCACCCTCTCATTGGCCTGAGAGGGACTTCCGGTTATTGGTCGGACCATAACCGGGTTGTTCATTAGAGGGTAGTGATATTTAAGGAGTAAGATATAACTCAGGGGTAAAATGGTAATTTGACCCAACTTGAGTTACGAGCACTCGTGAAGGATTGACTCGTCATTAATGGTCGTATATCCATGGACATGAAAACATTCTGCAGTGAGAAGAGTGCAACTGCGGGTCTTTAGTGGAGTGACCCGTAGTTAACGAATGTTGATTAACTCGGTCAATGAGTTTGACCGATTAATCTCGTATCGTTGGAGCTTTTGATTTGTAGGTCCATTAGGTCCCCTTGCTAGCTCATAACGGGTAAAACGATGATCAAGTTTTTGGAAGAATTTGAACGGTTCAAATTTAATAAGGGATTATATGTATATTGATACAATATAGTATATAGTTAATTCTAAATTAAAACTATATATTATGAGACAAATTATTTGAATGAGATTCAAATAAAATTAATATGAATAAGATTCATATTAAAACTATAGGTTAAAAATAATGTGCATAAGATATACATAAAAATATAGGTTATACGAGAGAAATACTATATATGTTAATTAATTATTAATTAGATTAATAATTAATTAATATTTATTAATGAATATGATTAATTAATTATATATATATATTAATATTAATGTTAAACTCTCCTGCAAAATTGCAGGGGAGTGGGAAGTTGGAATGACGTGGGGAGTTACCCCACGTCATTCTTCTTTTTCTTTGTGAAATGGGAAGCAGAATGGTTCTGCAACTCATACAGAACAAAAAGAAGAAAACAAGGAAACTTCCAATCTCTCAAGGAGCTCTCTCTCTCAATACTCCCTCTCATTCCTAACGAGGTGCTCCCACAAACACGATCTCGAGACCCAAGAGGATAGCGAGGAAGACACGGTGGTGGTGTTCGGGTGGAAACCGTTGAAGAAAAGTTCTTCAAAGGTATGGTTTTCCCCTGTATTTTCTTCTTAACCGTTTTGATTTTGTTTCTCAAATATCACGAACAACGGTCCGCTTCCGCTCCGGGATTGACATCCCTTCATCTCTGATATGTTGCAGCACTTGCCAAGTTCAACGGCTTCATCTCCCCAAATATCTCCAAATCTTTCATCGGGTAGCCCACCTTTGCATAGACTTCCATTTTGTAAACAAAAGCTTGAGACGGCATGCCACCATCAAAATTTTTAAGTTTAAGCCACGTTCTTTCTACTTCCATATCATCTCCCATTTTTGGGCTTGCTCTCAAGATGGACAAAAGGACCTCTCTTTCTTCCGCGATTCCTGCTTGTAGCATTTCTTTCCTTAGTGACACAATCCTTTCTTTGTCTATAGTATCCTGATAACTATGTAGCCAAATTAGACCACCATATATATCTTTATGTAACTCGAGTCCAGTTGTTACCAAATTGTGATATATAAACTCAGYCTGTTTAAGATAATGCTTTGAAGAATCCCCTGGTTTGCTTACGAGAGCTCTAAAGAGAGAATTGTGCAAGCTAAGACGTGGTTTGTAACCACCTAGCTGAATCATACGATTGTAAATGGTGATTGCTTCCTCTATGCATCCTTGGACAGGYGCACTCAGGTAAGCAACAATCAAAATATGGAATGTAGATTCACTTGGTACAAATCCCTGATTAATTATATCATCAAATACCTCCCGACACTTTGAGAACTTTCGCTCCTTGCCCATGTAATCAGCAAGCTTAGTAGCTAGAGCATAATCAAATCGGTACCAATGTTGTTGCATCGTCCACTTGTACACCTAATTATAAAAATGAAGAAAAACAAGAAACTGAAAGAAAATTCTATCACAAACATAGATTATAAAGAATAGCAAATTAAAGAGAACTATCAAATTTTACATTTCTAGTCCAACAATCTCATTATATTCCAAATACTGTTCATGTTACATTCATGTTCAGGTCATATTATTGTATTCCAAAAAAATTTCTCTCTAGTATTATAATCTAAATAGAATGATAAAGCCCAACAATGTTGCCGCAATTGCACACTTCCAATGAAATTCCTATTATTCAATAAATCCATAATTGCATTGCAAGTAGCTATTCCTATTCTCGTACGAGTATTTCGCGGGTGTTATAGTATGACATAATAGAATCAAAAGAAAGAGAAAAAATAATCACAAACCCTAAACGCAGTCTCGTTCTCACGAATACGCAAACAATGCACGATGAGATAGGCCGCATCATCCTGCCTCATCCATTTCCGCTGAGCATTAAGCAGCCGAACTAAGGTTCCCGGCTTATGCGCTGGCAATTCCTTACAAAGCCAAGCCAATTTGGATCTTCGCCACTGCTCCGGTAACTCGTCCAGCTCTTTGACTTCAAGCGCAGGATTTCCCAAGTGTTTCAAATCTGCCGACGCAAAACTATTTTCAAAATGAAAACCGTCAGCCCCGTTACTGTATGGAGAACACGAGTGCTCCTCAGAGTCGGACGGGGAATCCCGGTCGTATAACAACTGTGCGACCAAGGAACTTGAAGCGAAGGCAGTAATTCGCGGAAGTTTCGGTCGTCGTTTTGCGGAAAATGTTTGGATAAAGAGGGTACGGACGATGTAATTGTGGCAACGAAAGTGGCGATGGTGTGAAGGGAGGGAATGAGTGAGAGAACGGAAAAGAGTGGACATGGAGACAGGAGCAGGGGAGGGCAAGGGGAGGCCGAAGAGGGAGGGGGAGTCGCGCAAGAGAGGGAGGATCGAATAGGGGATAGGGTTTGTAATCAGGGGAGCGTATCCAATATTGTGATAGCAGTTATCCCATTCCTAATTTTATTTAAGTAGGTATACCATTATCTCATTCCTAATTTTATTTATGATAAATATGCCCTTGCAACGAAAGGGCCAAAACTATGGTAAGATTTTACATTTTTTTTGTGAGACAGTTATACCCTCAAACAAAAAGTCCTACATTAGCTTCAATTTAGGTAAGCAACTTATACCTTAAAAAAAAAAGTAGAGAATAGTTTAAGGAGACCAGATATATATAATCGATATTTTAAAAAAAATTAACTTGGAGATCATTTTGATTTGATTCTTTGAAATTCTAAATTAAAAAAAAATACACAACGTGAAGATGAACTAGGAACTTAAGTTATCTGATAACGTAATTTAGTACTAAAATATTCAAAATTACTAAAAAAAAAAGTTGGTGATGTATTACTGAATAATGTATTTTGGGGTTTAAAAAATGGAGGAGATAGTAAAAATTGGTACACTGGGAGACTAAAAAGGGAGGTTTTGTAATCATATCATATCATGAAAATCGTTTCTCCTCTAGAAAATGAACAATCGTCTTTCGTTGCGGAAGACAACTTTTTATTGTTCTCATCGTCTGAAACAAATATGCTAATGTCATTGTGTAGGAAAGATTGTGCGTCTTCGTGGTCTGATATATATTCACCATTAATATATGTCTTGTTGATGGAGTTTCTGGGTATATGCGAGCTTAGATTCCTTGAATATAGTTTTTGTGGTGTGCTATATTTCGTAGAAGACAAACATTGAGCCTAAACATTAAAATTATTCTTAAATTTTATAATAAAATATTGTTTTTTTATAATTCCTAACATATTTCCTCTTTGGGGGAGGGGTTTTGTTGGAGACGTAGTTGAAATTTAAGACCTAAGGTTTAAAATGTTGTCGTTTTAATATGGTTTAGATATGTCATATTTTTTTAGAAAACCTATATGGTTTACACAACCCCAAATTTTCCTTTAAAACTATATGTTGTGTATATATCGGGTGAATCTAATTTAATGTTTTTTAGGAGTCCTACCTTGTCGTCATATTTACTTTTAGTTATTGGTGTTGTCTAGTATGATGCAATTGTTGCCGTTGTTCAATTAGTTTACCAACTATGATTATGGTTGAGGCAATAATATAAATTGTTAGGGTAATAGTACGTATATACCTGCATGAATAGAAAATTGTGTTATTTCATATAAGGATGGACAGAATAATATCTAAGGACTCTGAGATAATTGAAATTTTTTTTATTTTCTTTATCTAATAAAAGCAACTAACTTTTTCGGATAGCAATTAAAAGAAAATTCATTGTTTATTTTCAATCAAAATTAAAAGTTTCTACATCACTCTACCAATTATGACTATGGTTGAGGTGATAATATAGATTATTAAGGTAGTAGTACGTATATACCTCGTATAAATAGAAAATCACGTTGTTTTATATAAGGATCGATTGAAGAATATTCGAAAACTCTGATAAAAATAATTAGAAAAAAATATATTTATTATTGAATAGCAGAAACAACTAAATGTTAAATTATAATTAAAAGAAAAGTTAGTGATTATTGTTAAATAGAAATTAAGAATTTCGACCTAATTATTCTTCAATTACTCTACCAAATATGATTATGATTGGGGTAATAATATAAATTGTTAGGGTCATTGTACGTATATACCCGCATGAATAGAAAATGGTGTTATTTCATATAAAGATAGACAAAATAATATCTAAAGACTCTCATAATAATTGAAAAGGATTAAGAATTTCAAATAATGATTAATTTAAAATTCCATAGATGAAACACTGAGACGAATCGTATAATTAGTGAAATCACAATAAAAAGTAAAATTGGGCTAGTAGGTAGAATTAAATACCATGAATTAATTAGTTTGATTTTGAAAAAGAATTTGAATTAGTTTGATTTTTTTAAACAAAATCTCAATGAGTTAGTTTTATTTTGTAATCTATGTAGAGATTTTAGAGATTCATTTTACTTTGAAATAAAATCTCTTTGTGTTAATTGTTGTAATGTGAGCGGGGTAAATTTGAGAATTGACATATTAACTAATTTTCATGAATCAAAGGAATGTGGGTGGGGTAAAAATGTAAATTGACTATTCCCATAATTTTCTTAAATTAATGTTAGTCTGAAAAAGGGATGGGGAAAACTTAACATAAACGCAATTGAAATTCCTGAGAAGTTATACATTTGTGTATTCAGAAGATCATTTACTATTTTTTGAAACTCGATCTCTCCCTTATAAAACTTATGGTCATTTTTAATTACCGTATTCTATGTCTAAAGATTAGCGGAATCTAGTAGATAATTATGAATTTCTCCTTCGGAATATAGATTCAATATAAAAATGAATACAAAATCAACAAATTGAAAATTTTAAATATTGGAAAAGATGGAAAATATTGTAAAATGGAAAATATTGAATAAAAATCAAATCTAATATAAATTTTGTTTAATATATTATATTAAACACCTGTAATACAAATATGGAAAAGATGGCATAAAAATCAAATTTAAAATTTAAAGATCACAAATCCGATTAAATATAGATTAAATATAGAAGTAACAATGTCAGATGTGCTTGACGGTCCCTATAATACGCTCATTTGGAATCTGTAGAGTAACAAGGAATCAATTGAGATCAATACAAATAGAGTTAATAGAAAAAATTCAAATATTAGAATTAAATAGAATAGATATAATCAAAATTAAATTGTTTAATGTATAGGTAAAATAAAATATACACATATATCTTTTAGATAAAATTTAGTGCGATTACTCTAAGAGAATGTTAACCTTGATTAATCTAATCAAATTCAATTCAAATAAATAATATAAATTAAAGTATTTTAAGTTATTAATTATTTTATATTAACTTTCTAAAAATATTATTTTATACTAACTATGTTTAATTATTGAATTATTATTATATAATTTAATTTTATTCGATTTAATTTAACCTAGTTTTTTTAGATATAATTTAACCTAGTTGATTCTTATATTTTTATTTAATTTTCATTAATTAGTAAAAATTAATTTACATCAATAAAGTTTAATAAGTAAATTGATAGTAAATAGTTTTATTTGTTTTATTTAATTTAATTAATTTAAAATTGATCTATTGAATTGGTTTTATTTATTAATTTGTTTTAATTGATTGGTTTATGTCAAAATAATTTACATCAATAAAGTTTAATAAGTAAATTGATAGTAAATAGTTTGATTTGTTTTATTTAAGTTAATTAATTTAAAATTGATCTATTGAATTGGTTTTATTTATTAATTTATTTTAATTGATGGGTTTATGTCAAAATATAGTAAATGTAATATCTATATCTATATCTATACTATAGTAAAAAGGGAGGATGTAGAAAAAATATTTTTGACACTTTTGTCCCTTACTAATTTTACTAATTTACAAATTAAGTCATTAATATATTATTATAAATTTTAAATTAATCATTAATTATCAATACTAATAGCTCCCCTACAACATTAAATTAATGTTTCTTTAATTATAATTCATATTAGAATTTCAAGAGTTTTAGAATTTCAAAAAATTTTGTAACTTCTTATCCTCTACTACTATAAAAATAGACTTTCTTCCACCATATTTTTCTCAACACACTTAGAGTTTCACTACTTTATTCTTAGTTCTCTCAAATCATCTCTCAAATATTATTCAATCTTGAAAACTTCTTGAGATGTTGGTGACATATTCATCTAGAGCTGCAAGAGATTGATAGGCATCAGGTTGCAAGAGATGCATATTCATTAAGTTGCAATGGATGCACGTGTCAATATATATCTTGAATAGTTGGTTTGCGACGTCACCGTTCCACAATTTTATGAAGTTCAATAATAGTATTTGTCAAGCAATTATCAAGAGTGGGTATATTTACTCTAAAAGATTAGTGTATAGTTAGGATTCTTATTTTTTTTTGTTACTATTATTTTTTTTTGTTCTTTTATAATTATTGTATTTTTTTTATTTAGAATGTTTTCGTTTGAGCAATTTTATTTTACAAGCTCGTGTTCTTATTGTTGAAAAAAAAATTAATGTAAGTTAATACATCAAAATGTGTTAAATAATTAAATAGTAAATTAATAAATTAATTATCAACAATATCTTGTGTGAAATCTTAAAATGTGAGATACAAAATTTTTGGTCATTTCATAATAATATAATTTAAATAAATTATCATTAATAAATTTAATCACAATATTATATTAAATCAATAAATTAATTTGATCAAGTTAAAAAGTACAATAAATAACAAAATGTTAGCTCCAAAAATCGTTAGAATCTTTAATAAACAAACAAAATATTAAAAAAAAATAAAAGGCCTAATATAAGATGAAATAACATTTTAAAAATAAAAATATTAAAATACTTATTTATTTTTTAATTAGGATATTAAAAATAATGAGATGTAACCTAGAACCTAGAATTCATTAAAAAGTGGCATGAGATAATTAATTTAAGATATTTTATATATTGTCAATTTCAACATATTTTATTAATAATTTATTATTTTTATAATTTTACTAATTAAGAAAATAAATTTATCATTTGTAATATATAAGCAACTAATGAATTTTTTTATAAATTTAAAGTACATATTAATTTTATTACTATAATACAAAATAAAGTAAAAGAAAAAAAATGTATGCGTAGAACATGAAAAGTTTATTTACTCTTAATTATATAATATTTAATCTTAAAATAACAAGAATCTTAAAATCTAAAAAGAATACGATGAAATTTAATCTAAAAATACAAAGAGTCTTGAAATTTAAAAGAATTATAATATATTATATATATATAAAATTGTGGAGGTGGAAGAAACTTTTTTGGACATAATTACCCTCCCTTCCTTATTAAATACCATATGTGTGATTTATTATATATTAATATGTGTGATTTATTATATATTATGTGCTGTGATGAGATGTTTGTGGGCAA